TATATATATATATATATGCAGAGATTCTTTATTAACTGTGATTGCCCTGATAGAAGGGTATGTGGGTGGCTGGAGAACTAGAGGGAACATTTACTTTCCTCTGCCATTATTTTTAATTATGTACTGTGTATAGATTACCAACTCTAAAGATAAATATAATTTATTTTTAAATTAATCTGAAGGTCATGATCTTTTCCGCTCCTTCAAATCTAAATCCACTTAAAAAGGACCTAAAATGCCATTTCTAAACATGTTCTTTTGAGGTCATCTAGTCCAGGTTCCTATGAACACATGAAGCAAAAAAAGGCATCCCAGCCCCCCCACCCCCCTTCTCCAGGCAGGCAGACAAAAGAGCGAGCCTGAAGTTGGGCATTGTGGGATCTTGGTCCCTCTTACCAGGACTAACTGTGTGACGCTAAGTGAGTTCCTTACGCTCTCTGAGCCCCAGTTTCATTCTTGACGTGGGGACAAGGGCAGCACCCCCGTCGTGCCCATACGAGCAACAAATAAACGACAATAGGAGCATAGACCTGTGTCAGAATAGGACCCGTATGTTTGTAGGAAGTATGACTTGTAGTGCAGAGATCGTCCTTGAAAAGCTTGGGTTCAGTCCCTCGATTTCCAGGGGAGTGCCCCATAAACATATGCCTGGGGTCCCCCAGCAGCCGGTAGGGCCACCTTGCTTCGGAGGTAAAGCAGACTCTCTTGTGTCCACAGCCAACATCTTGACGGTGATTATCCTCTCGCAGCTGGTCGCCAGGAGGCAGAAGTCCTCCTACAACTACCTCTTGGCCCTCGCGGCTGCCGACATCTTGGTCCTCTTCTTCATCGTGTTCGTGGACTTCCTGTTGGAAGATTTCATCTTGAACTTGCAGATGCCTCAGGTGCCCAACAAGATCATAGAAGTGCTGGAGTTCTCCTCCATCCACACGTCCATCTGGATTACAGTGCCGCTCACCATCGACCGCTACATCGCCGTCTGCCACCCGCTCAAGTACCACACCGTCTCCTACCCGGCCCGCACCCGGAAGGTCATCGTGAGCGTCTACGTCACCTGCTTCCTGACCAGCATCCCTTACTACTGGTGGCCCAACATCTGGACGGAAGACTACATCAGCACTTCCATGCACCACGTCCTCATCTGGGTTCACTGCTTCACCGTGTACTTGGTGCCCTGCGCCATCTTCTTCACCTTGAACTCCATCATCGTGTACAAGCTTCGGAGGAAGAGCAACTTTCGCCTCCGTGGTTACTCCACCGGGAAAACCACCGCCATCCTGTTCACCATCACCTCCATCTTTGCCACGCTCTGGGCCCCCCGCATCGCCGTGATTCTCTACCACCTCTATGGGGCGCCCATCGAGAACCTGTGGCTGGTGCACGTCGTGTCGGACGTCGCCAACATGCTGGCCCTTCTGAACACGGCCATCAACTTCTTCCTCTACTGCTTCATCAGCAAGCGTTTCCGCTCCATGGCGGCCGCCACGCTGAAGGCTTTCTTCAGGTGCCAGAAGCAGCCCGTTCAGTTCTACACCAACCATAACTTTTCCATAACGAGTAGCCCCTGGATCTCGCCGGCCAACTCGCACTGTATCAAGATGCTGGTGTACCAGTATGACAAAAATGGCAAACCTATAAAAGTATCTCCGTGACCTTACAGGTGTGGCACCCAGTGCCTCTGTCTAATCCATTTCTAGATGGGAGGGTGGCCCCACCTAAGGCTGAATGGCGCTCCTTAAGAGCGCTAACCTGATTTCCTGTCTTCACGGACTGAGCAATGCTCAGACTGGTAGAGGAGAAAGGATGGAAGAGAAGGAAGATGAGCATGAATCTTGTTTCCATTTGTGCATTTATTTTCACAAAGTCACCGTGACGGCTGAAGTTCCTACCGGTTTGAAGATGGGACCATCGGAGGTTGTGTCATCATCCTGTGGCCAGTAAGGACACACAGTAGAGAAGTAGTCTGTGACTTAGCCTTGGCATCATCCACAGTCACTGGGAACCATCATTTACGTGACCCATCAAGTCGCAGTAGCACCATAGCTGAGCCCACAGTCTTCTTCCAGGGGCTGAGGTCATCCATCACTTCCAGCAGCTAACAGTGCTGACCAATTTGGGATTTTTCCAAGGTGCCCCTTGTCCTAGACAGGGTTGTGGTATTCAAGTGGCCCTGGCACCCACCCCTTGCTTTAAAATGACACTGTGGTGTCAGGGACGGACTGAATCCCACCTAGACTGTGGCCAGGGCTTCTGTGGAAAGGCCCCAAACCAACACCAACATAACTCTGACCCTCAGACCTGAGGTCAAAGATGCTATCTTTCTAGTCGCCATGATGTATAGATTTTATCTAGCTCCTCCAAAACAAAGACCCTGCCTGGTGCGCGGGGGAGGAAAGGAGAATTTCTTGAGCCCAGGAAAACAAAAAACAAAAAGCCCACTCTTGCCATTGTTTTTGACGCGCCCCCGTGTCAGCTTTAACTCAAAATATAGTAGCTTCTTGTTGCGACACCACTCAGGCTTCCTGGAGAAGCCCTTTACGTATCTAGTTGCCAGCCCTGCCTCCTTGCTTGCTGAAGACCTCACCAAATTGCTTTACCCGAAGTGACTTCTGAACTGGATCTAACTTTTGAGGGTCGGGAACTGTAGCTGCCCAGGTGTGAAGGGAGACATTCCCCACTCTGCCCCATGGTCCAGCTGGCTTTGCAGACACAATGGACATGGCGCCCGTGTTGCCTGCTTGTCTGCCCTTTGACGCACGTGGCTCAGAAAGGTGGTGCCAGTTTCCTGTGAAGCTATTTAACCCAGATCCTTTGCAAAATGATAAATCCTGAACTTATTTTTCCCTGGCCTGTCCAAGGCAAGAGCATTTCAAGGGGGTAATTAACAGGGGCTTTCCCTTGAAAGGGAATCCACACTGGAGTCCCTCTTCTTAAGCCTTTTTTTTTTTTTTCCTCTCTCTGTTGCCCAGATTCCTAGTATTTCAAATTGTCCCTGTTCTGGAAGAAATTTGCCCAAATGATTTTCAAATAGCATAACATCTTTGGTGACCAAACAAAAAGCAGACAGTTCCACCTGGGACGTGTGGTTCCACAGGCTGGATTTTTACTGCACTTTTGTTTCTAAATTAGAAGACATGTCTACCCGCTTTAAGGGGAATTTGCAATAAATGAGTATGGTAGAAAAAGCCACACGGTAACACAAACCCTAAACGTCCACCAATGCCCTCAATACGAACTGTGTAATTGTAGATCACGTTAATGCCCATGATCCTAATTCTTACTCCTTTTAAACGATTGCAGTGGAGTCTCATCTTACCCAAAGATTAGATTCTACAGTCAGTGCAAAAACACAAAACTCCAGCAGAGCCAAAGTTACCTCTGCAAAGACCTCAGGAAGAAGCCCTGTTGGAGACCACATACTATCCCGTAAAAAACCCAACACAGCCAAATTTTTCTGCAGCAATGGAACAGGTTGCTGAGGACGAGACACAGTTGGCTTGTGTTTGGGGACCGTATTGCCTGACCCTAACGTACCCGAGAGTATTAGGATCACACTGATGCAGCCAGGTGCTCCTGCTAGAAAAGGTTCATGGAAGTGGCCCAACGAAGGGGCAAGCAGATTTGCATCTCCCATGTCAGTCTCCCCAGGGCACATGCACACTGGGCGAAACGGTGGGCAGACTCCCCACATCTCTTGTGCTGCATTTCCCTCCGTTTCTTTTTTTGCCAAGCACGCGTAGTCAAATGTGTGTTCATGATGTGACTCCACCACGTTCCCTTACACATGAACTCTGACCAAAGGCTACCTACACCGAAAATATGTACCTATTTATTTTTTAAACGCATAGCTCTGAGAAATGCTAGTTGGGGCTATACGTGAATGAGTTCCAGTGCAATAGCGACGGAGGTCAGGCAATTGCATTTTCAGAATGTACGTAAGATGGAAAATGTGTACGTAGATTTCAGTGCTGTCTGCTCCACGTTTTTAATTGTATGTGAAAGTGAACTGTTGATGTTTAAAAAGTAAAAACTGGTGTGCATTTGGAATATTTTCCTCGTACACTCATTTATCACTTGTCTTATCAACAGTGGCTGTACCAAGTAGTATTGTGGTCTCTTTTCCTTCTGACTATATTTTATATTTTGATAAAGTCAACATTTAAAAGAGGTGTGATTCTTGATGGCACTCGAGTGAGTTGCCGTCTTCTGGTTAAAATGCAGATGAATGCCTGTTGGCTTAGGCTGATATCTCCTAAAATTGATCTCTGATCATCTGCAAACTTTTAATTTATCATTTATAGTAATAATTGTGGACAATAATTAAAACTTTTTTAAAAAACAAAAACAAAACACTTTTAAGTCTTTTCCTTCAAGCCAGTTTTGGAAATAAAGCCTTGAAATTTGAAATCTGTCATGTAAACAGCTTGCTGTTGGTGGCACTTACTGAACTGCCTTAAATCGGGAGTTTTGTGATGCTTCCTTCAAAGCCTGTCACCTAGCATCTCTCCTGGTGTGTGACGTGCGTTCTTACTTGGACGTGCAGTGATACGACACGTGTATCTGCTGAGTCTGTTTACTGAGCAACGCCAAGGAAATGAGGAGGATGACAAACCACAAACGACAGACCATGAAAAGGCATCGACTTCCACGTTGCAAACTCTGCAATTGGAAAAGATTATTTTGCACAGTTGGTACCTACTGGTCCAACACGGTGGGAGGCGGGAGGGGTGCAAGGGAAGGGGTTCCTATCTGAAGCGAATAAAAGACACTCATGTTGGCTCTTCCAGTTCAAAGAATGGAATAGGATATTACCATATGGAATAGGATATTACCATAGAAAAATAGTCAATGTTCATATTTTCTTAATTAGATAATATATTGTGTTTGGACTTGTTTGTATTATAATAAATTCTAATATGGTGCACACTCGGTGTTTGATATTTGTATATGCGTTCAAGGCATCTGCACAACTGTGATTAGAACATTTTAAATGAGTTTCTTCCTTATGCTCTGTGCTGGTGCTAGAATGAGACCTGGGTCCCACCTGCCTACTGGTTAGCCAGATAGATTTCAGAATGTAAGACCACGGAACTGTGCTTCCAGTGAACCTGAATTAGGTGGCTTCCTGGGTACAAATCTGAATTCTCTGCAGACCACACATTCTCTACGCGTCTTTGAGACAGTGACAGCTATAATCTTAAGCGGAAATCGAACATAATGGCTAAGAGCTTGGGCTTGGAAGTCAGATAATCAAGGATTCATGTCCCAGCTCCACCGTCTACTAGAGGTTGATCCAATCCTTGAAGATTTCTGAAAGACTGTCCTCAGAACAAAAATGGTACAAAAGTTCATTTTTCCCCAGCTGCCTGCAAGGGGAGCAGAAGCTCTCACAGTCAGGAAACCAAGGTTCAAAGTCAGCTACTGTTGGCTATAACTTGGCAGGCTCTGCCCCTTCCTAGCTGTGTGGCGCTGGGCAATGTTCACAACCTCTCTGAGTCTCAATCTCCTCTCCATAAAATAGGGCTAACAGTAACTCCAGTACATGCCTCGCGGAGGATTAATAATAGTAGAGCTAAAAAGAGCCTCCAAGTATATGTCGGCTCACAGGTGAGGATGCTGGCCACAAAGAGGTTAATGATTTTTATCCAGACAGAACCCAGGTCACCCACTGATCACTGCATCCTTCCCACGCTGTTTCAATGCCTTCTCTGTAAGATTCTGACTCAAAGATCACATTCTCTTTGTGCCCTTTTTAAAGGTTGGGCTATTGCCTAGTTTTCCAACTCTTCAAATCCAGGTCATCCAACCATGAGCTATAACAGCATCATAATTAAAACACTTGGCTTGACCATTCCCTGTGAGGTAGAAACTTCTAAACTAACTCTATCTGGGATCTTAACCGTGGCTCTCAGACTATCAATAGCTATGCATTTCCCACGCAAACCACCATCAATTCTGACAGCCACCCACAAACGACTGTCACAATCTATCTTTGCATCGGCGTGGAGAATGAAAGTAACTTACAAGTAGTTGAGAGGGAAGGTACAGAAAAGCAAAGAAAGTGCTAGAAAGGTTGCAAGCAGAAGCTGTTTGGCATGGCCACAGCGGCCTCGCTAATTTTGTTAACCAAACTCAAGGGAGCAGGGTAAGTGAGTGGATGGAGGTTCAACTGCGGAATAATGATCCTTTTACTAGTGCACTCAGCTAACTTGCCAGACACGACAAGGACGTAAGAGGCTCATGTCTATTGAGATAAACAGACACCGTGATTTCCCAGGTTTATTAGGAGAATGCGTCACTGTCATGCCAGAGAAAGAAAACTTTTTGGATTAAGAAGGAGAAAACAGGGGCCAGCCGAGTGGCTCAGTTGGTTAAGAGCTCGCTCAAGAGTGCGAGCTCTGAGCAACAGGGTCACCGGTTTGATTCACGGCCCGAGCTGAGCTGCCACTGAGCTGCCAACAGGTGGCAGGATGGCTCAGCTAAAAAAAAAAGGAGAAAACAGGGCCCCTGGGAAGAGGGATGCCTTCCCATCAGTGCTGCATGAGGAGTTATTAGGTCTAAGGAGCTTTGTACTTAGTGAATGTCAGTAATGTGGTATTTCCTTTCCACTGGAGAGAGAACAGGAGGCTTAAACTGAAGTGTGAGGGATCCAGGTCAAACCCCCAAAAAAGAAATCTTCACGGTGACACCTGTCAATTCCACAAAGGGTTTTCCGTGGGAGGTCTTAGAATCTGCTCCTCTGGAAATATTTCCAAAAGGACTGGATATTAGAGCTTTAGAGGGAAGCAAACCTCACTCAGATGGTTTCAATGAAAAGCCTTTACCCAAAGGCTAGGAACCAGAAATAAAAGGAAGCCTCGCCCTCCTAGGCCCGATGAGGGGACGGGGGAAGTAGAGTTACTGCCGCTCAGTGTGAGCTGTGCTTTGGAAGACGGGCCTTCCAGCAAGCAGGTGCCACACTGCTGCCAGACATATGATGCCAGACAGGAAGGTGGGGCGCCCCATCCTCTCTCTTCCTTCCCTTTGACATCATGCCGACGCCTCCACTGGCCAAGCTCAAACCAGAAGTCAGCCAAGAAGAGAGCACAGGCGACGCGGTCCGCAGTGGCCAGACTCCAAGGCACAAAACAGTGAAAAGCAGATCAACAGCAGATTGAGACAGGAAGCACTTGCAGAATAACCATCAAAGGTTACATTCTTCTTTCTCTATCATTGGGTACTGGAGGGGATCTTAGAGATTATTTCACTCAAAAAAAAGGAAAGCTAAGGCCCAAGAGATCTCCTTGCCCAAAGTCACACAACCTTGACACGGGCAGGTCCTGTGTCCATCGATTTTCTAGCACATTCCCAGAAATACATATGCGTATCATAGACCTTCACAAGCTTTCTTTCCAGCCTTCATGGTTAGAAATTTCTTTGCTTAATCCTCAGAATCTCCAATGGCCAGACTATGAACTCAAAACATGTTTAGGGAAGGAAACAAAGAAAGTCATTTGACAAGCACATGTCCCAGGCACTCCTACGGTGACTCATTTACTTGAATTCAATACTTCAATATGTATTGAAATATACGAGGTGCCAGGGGCCATTCTAGGCTGAGTGATTGATTCTTCAGTAAATGGGACAGATAGGGATGCTGCCCTTGTGGCACTGACATTCTAGTGGGAGACACAGAAAGACGCAAAGAAGTTCAGGTAGTGATGAGTGCTGGGAAATAAATACTAGTTAAGTGATTGGGGTCAGGCAGAAACAATGTTAGATAAGGCTGACAGGGAAGGTCTTTTTGAGAAGGTGGCAACAGGACTGGATCCCAAATTAAAAGGAGACAGCCACACCAAGAGCACTCCAGGCTAAGGGACCAGAAAAGCACAAAAACCTTGAA